CATGCAATGCAAATTTAAGTTAAAAATTTTAATATTCACAATAATAGATACCCTTAATCATATACCCCTAAAGCATAGGCAAACCCTCTTAACACTCGGTCGATGGTAAAAAAAAAAAAAAAAAAGAATTAATAATGATAAAAGAAGTTTTAAATTTTTAATTCAAAATTAATTAATTTTTAGTCGGTATTCAAATCAAATTAATTAAATTAAAATATAACTATTTATGTAGTGTTCGTATTACAATATAATATATTCAACATTATATGTATATTAATCATCCTGGTTAAAAATCAATTGAAATTCTAGACAAGACTTATTTAGTTTAATTTACGAAAAAAAAAAACATTTTATTATTAAGTTCAAGTATGAGAATTTTAATTTATATAAGTTTTAAAAAATAGTTATGAAAAATATACATTGTGCAGGCTTTATGATTAGTACGAGGAAAGGAAAGCTTTTCACGGTCCTTATGTGACGTTGCTAGATTGGGATCCCACGTGACAGGGTTTTAATCTTAAAGTCTATGCATTCAAACACCTTTTTTCTAATATTTTAATTTATTATTTACTCCAAAATAAGTTAAAATTAAGACAAAGAATAAAGCTAATTAATTTATTTTAACTTTTATTTTAATTTCTTTTTATATTTTAATTATTATTATTTTTTTAAAAAATTTCAATAATATATTTGGGACATTATATATTAAATTTAAATTTGTAGTATTTTCTAAAGCCATTTGCTCATCTTTCTTCATATATAATACATGATGATTTCTCTCCATTTTATTTTTAATATTATGCTAACTATTTCTTACATTTCAAATTATATTCTCTACTTTTTGCTACTTGTGTGTTTACCTTCCAAATTAATACTATTCAAAATCGACTTAAAAACACTCTTTAAAAATAATTTCAACAATAAATTCTCTGAAATATGGTGATCATATATGAAAAGACGGATAAGAAAATGGGGAAGAAGGAAAAAATGAGTATATATAATTTCGTTTTAAAAAAAAAAATTGTCCCTCCACTCAGATATCGCGTTAATAACATGTGATATTCTCTTAACATTAGGGTAAATGATGTTTAATAATAAAAAACTTATTTCAAAGTATTTTGAAACTATAAATACTTAAATAGATAGAAAAATAGTATAAAAATTCAATAGAAAATGAAAAAAATATAAGAGCTTATTATGTATTTATCCGTATATAAATATATTGGTGACTGTATTTTATTAGGTATTCAATTATGGTTTTGGACTAGTTAAGCATGACGAGTAATGATGAGATGAAGACAATAAGTGTTTGTGGGTAATGTGATGTTGGGGTATGTGTGACACTGGATTATGTGTGATGTTGAATAGAGAGAAAGAGAGTCCAAACAAGACATAATGAGTTTTTGTTTCATTCTGAAGAATATTGGATGAAATTACTTAATATATAATGTATATGTAAACACATAATATTATCTTATTCTTAATAACTTCAAAATTTCAAACATGAGAAAATATAAAAAATATTTTGGTAACTATATATTGTATCGTATATTTTAATAGGTATATTTTTAGTTTAATACTAACTTGCTTGAACAAAATAATTTACAAGAAATAAAAAAAGATGTTATAAGACAAGATAAGGGAAAAAGTGGTGCTAACCATTGTTAGCGATAATTCTAGGTACCAATTTCTGTACGGATATGATTACAGTTCAACACGGCTCCTACTAATATTTTGACCAAGTTATTAGATAACATATTATCTGAGAAGGAGAAACACTAACACAATTAGATTTTTTAAAGCAAGTTGTAGCCTAATATCTCTTGTTGATAAAAATAAATTTCGGTCTAATAGATTTTAGATAAAAAAATATTATTTGCTAGATCTAATTCTTTAATATATTAGAATGTAAATAGAGATGCCTCCCACTTATCATCTCTTTAGGATTTAAGTAATTATCAAAATCACTCTCTAATTATTAAGAGATGAGTCAATCACATTTTGTATAACGCTTTGAGTCCAATTATCACTAGTTTTACAACTTTTCGAATCCAAGCGACTAATACTCAACAACTCAAGCTTAAGTTGTAGGTAATGCATAACTTAAACTATTATATAGAACTTAAAAATAACATATATTTGTCGATGTAAAATTTAAATATCACAATCTTTACTTACTTTTTAATATCTCTATTAAGATCACATATCACAATTATAAATTATAATTCAAAGATCTTACAAAGTCTAAAATTGCACTAATATGGAGTCACCTAGATGACACTTGCTCTAATATTATTTATAACATTTTATGTCTAACACTACAATCGAAATGATGCGAGATATCACAATATTTACTTATTTATTTTTTGATGTCACCATCAAGATTGCATATCATAATCACAATATGTAATTTAAAGATCCTACAAAGTTCGAAATTCTACCAATATGAAGTCATTTAAATGACATTTATTCTGGTACTATTTGTAAGATTCTATCTCTAATGTTACAATGAAAATAATGTAAAATTAAAAAAGGACTATGGAAAATATAATTATAGTTTAAAAATTTATGAAATCACCGTAAATTATATTGAGAATGAATCGAATACTATGATAATTTGTTGAAATATTGAGTTCAGAAATGATATGAGACAAGAACGCGTGAGAGACCTACTCACGGTATATGCTAAGTATTGATTTAATTTGCATGTAAAAATAAAAAGAAAATATTAAAAACCTATTTATAGTGCACAAGTGTGTGAGTTATTGCCATTCATTTAATTTTATTTTTAATTGACAATTATTTAAAAATATAATTTATATTATTATATAAATATTTGATAATTTTAGAACTAAATTGTATTATAAGAAACTACTTACCAGGGACTTTTTACTGACTGCTGAAAGTAGGTCACCTGGAATATAAAAATGTTTTAGCAAAAACAAAAAAAAAAAAAAAAGAGAGAAAGAAAATATATAAATATTTATAGCCCTACTGCAACAGTACAAGTGCTGATGACGAAAGAGGTCGAAATCCACTGACAGGAAGAGCGGGAGGAATAGGAGGATTCAGACGAGTCAAATCTCTCTCAACTGTATGTCTCAATCCTGCCACAAGGTGAGTAATCATCACGAGCTCCTGATCTTCAAGCTTCCTTTTCCGATGCTGGAGAAATGTGATAGAAAACAGAAATTTTGAATTCCATGCACTGTTGGAATTTTATGTTTTGATGCCAAATTGATCTTACTTTTCGTTCTTTTTTCTCTGCAATCAAACGGAAGGACTTAAATCGTTATCCCATACTCTTTCGTTTTTTTTTTTTCGTTTTTACTGCAATTTGATGCATCTAATGTATATATTCGCATGAAATTCCTTTTCCTGTGTTTCTTACATTTTTCTTTATTCTCTGACCTTTTTTTTTTTTGAGTGAATGTGTTGAAGATTTCTTCTGTGTTTGTTTAAAGTTCCTGGGAAAAAGACTTGTATTATTATTATTATTATTATTTGGTGCATGTATGGTCTAATCGGTTTGTTGTGCGAAAGATTTACTGAAAGCGCGTTTGAGGTTTTGATGTATTCTTTGCAGCTCTCAATTCAAACCAACACATTTACCATCCAAGATTCATCCGCAGTGATGCAAATGGATGATAAGAAGGCTTCAGTAGTTGGAATGGAGGAACTGCATAATGGAGGACTTTCACAAGTAGGATTTGCAGCTTTCAATTCTCAGGTTGTTATGAAGTATTTTGTTACTGGTTCTTTTTATATCCTTTTCTTTTCATATCTGTATAACCATGAATGAAACCAGGAAAACAAGTGATGGGGAATGAGTCATAATGAAGGTGAAAATTTTCTGTTTGCTTTATGTCTATCCCTTAATCTGTAGAGGCTTCAGAATGATCTGGAAGCATTAGGGCGGAAANNNCAAAATAACTTTGTACAACTGTGAACTGAAATGAGCAGCTTATACAATTTAGGCTTCATTATGAGAAGGAAATGGGTTGAGTTCAAACTTTTGTAATATATTGACTCATCAGCAAAAAATACTGCATAATTTTTTCGTCCATATTTGTGGCTAATAATTGGTTTTCTTTCAGTTGTTCTCAGCAAGTATCATTCGTCAGGCACACTAAAAATTGAGAATGAGGACTATCCCAGACTTCAGAGTGAAGAGGAAACCTCTGAACAGATTATTCAGCATGAAAAATCTGCTGCTGGCATTTTTTGTCAGTTGAAAGCCCGTCATGGTGCCCAGGCTTCTCATTTGACCTCAATCAAGGATGTCTTGGGTATTGTCGCGATGCTTGGAAAAGTTGATGATGAAAACCTTAGCAGGTGGACTTGAAATTGCTTTTTGTGGATTCAATCTTTTCTAGTTCTGTATTTGTGCTTTATAGGGGGTTTGTATCTGGATTGTTTACTGTGTTTTACTTTGATTCTCCTAGCCAAGAATTTGTCTCTGTGGAGCTTGTATGCACGCGTATGTGCATGTGTATATGCCTATATACGTGCATGTATGCATGCATGTAATGTGAATTTGAATAATATATGGTCAGGTAAACCTACATTGGCCTAGTAGCCACGGCCCTCCACCTTATGGTTGATGTCATGAGTTAAACTTTGTCCAGGTACAGTAAAAATGGTGACTTATGGTCAGGAAGTTGCATCAAATGAGATGGCTTGTTCACATAGAAGATTGCAATGATGACTCTTTCTGAGATATTGTAAAATTTACTTATTACTACCATAGTCAATGCTTTATATTGACAACTTTTCCTTGTATTTGAGATGTAGGCTTTTCTCTGAGTACTTGGGAGCTGATAAGATGTTGGCAATTGTCTGTAAAACTTTAAAAGGTGTCAAGGCTTTAGAAGCTTATGACAAGGAAGGCTGCATAAATAAAAATGCTGGCCTTCATGGAGTTGGTGCTTCAATGGGACGGACTTTGGAGGGCCGGTTCCTTGTAATTTGTCTTGAAAATTTAAGGCATGAGTCTTATAAGCTGATCGTGATTGACAATCTAGATTTTGTTCTCTGAAAACATTCTAAAACTGGCTTTCTTTCTCCTTTTAAAGACCTTATCCTGGTCAATTTGTAGCTGATGACTCGCAAAGGAGGCTTGATATTTTGAAGCCAAGATTACCTGATGGCCAGTCTCCGCATGGATTTCTTGGGTTTGCTGTGAATATGATCAATATAGACAGTTCAAATTTATATTGGGTCACATCTGATGGACATGGACTTCGAGAGACTCTATTCTATAATCTCTTTGCCCGTTTGCAAGTATACAAAACAAGAGAAGATATGATGCATGCTCTCCCATGTATAAGTGATGGTGCCCTGTCTTTAGATGGAGGGATAATTAGGAGCACTGGAGTTTTTGCTCTAGGCAATTGGTAAGAAGGTTGGCCATTTTATGTTGTTGGAGCTTGGTTCAGCTAACTTCCATCTTATATTTTCTGCTTTGCTATGATTTCTCTCTAGTTCTCTTTGGCCTAAATATAACTCTTTATCATTTGATGCACTTACATGGAACATTAACTGTAAGGTCTAGGGCTTCTGAGAAATAATTTAGTTCTTCATTTCTGGTATAAAGTGTCTGGACACTCAGGATAGCAAAACAAAAAAGGAAAAAAATATTTTTTGTTCTTATATTTGTTTGATGTGTGATCTTAGGGTCAAAGTTGATGTGAGATTTCCAAGACCCTCTCCCAAATCAAACCTACCTGAGAGCTATGTTGAAAGTGAGAAGCAGATCAAGGAGTTGAAATGGAAAAGGGAGAAGTTACAGGAAGACCAGAAGAGAGAACAAATACTATTGGATCAAGCAAGGTCCAGTTTTGATAGGAAGAAGGAAGAATTTGTTAAGTTCTTGGCACAAAGCTCATCATATGCCACTCAGGTAATGCCTAGATCACATTGTGTCTAATTTTAGAATGTTCCTGACTGATGAATAAGCTTCTTATTTCATCTCTCTCTCTCTCTCTCTCTTTTCTTGGAAGTGTTTTTATGTAATATTGTTTATTACTTTTTGGTTGAGTTGCTCTTTAGGTGCTCCACCAAAATGTTCTTGGTGAATGGTTATTTTCTTAGAAACCTTTTGCTGATTGCGCATGTTTAGAACTTTGAATCTGCCAATTCTCTTTTGTTATTCAGAGAGTAGCTTGTTTGATGTAGAATGGGAATAAGCTAGGATGGATAGTTTTTTGTAATAGCAAATGTTTTTATAATCCTTACGTAATTTCTGTATTTGCATATGTTCTTACATATATGGGCTATTTAGGACAGATTAGCTAGATTCAGGAGTTACTTTCTCGGTGTAGTCTTCTTGTTTTGTTTTTCTTGGGATGAAGTGGCATCCTACTATTGTAGGTGAAGTAACACCATGTTTATTTGTTTCTATTGGTCAATTTAGGTGCTAGATTTTGATGGTCCAAAGGTGGTGGTTGCCAACTTGTGTCACCTTTCGTTGTTCAAAGGTGGTGGAACGCAAGTGGTTAACATGTTTTGTTTCTCATTGGTCTGAGAGTGATGGCAGCTTTTATTGGACTAGTAAATTGAAGAGTTCCCGTTTTTTTTTCTTTTTCATTTACTTTTCCATTTTAAAAAAAGTTGCTATTGGTTCTTTTTGCAAGCCATTTTTGTTTTAAGACGCTTAATATGATGCAAGAAGAGGATAATCATGTTATTTTTTAAGACTTAAAGGAATATTTCTCCCTAAAATTCTACTACTTTCTCTTTAACCCTTTTCTTATTCGTTTCTCCTTTCTTCTCCATCTCCCTTTCCCTCGGAATTCCTTTTCTTTCTACACCTCCTAGTTTCTTATCTTTTTACCTTAAAAAATGCTGCCCATTACCTTATTTGTTTAGCTGCTTGATTGTGGACGTTTGTCCTACATCAAGTGTCCTTAGAGCATGTTTGTTCTTCTTTCCTGTTCTTCTCTCTCCTATCTCTCCTTTCCTTGTTCTTGTGATCTACCTCTATTTCATCTTGTTCCTTCTCTCCAATCATAATGTTTTCGTTTTTCTTTTTCTTCCATATTGTTCTATTTTCTGGCTCATAACCCATGTGTACCAAATTTGAATCGCCACTCTTTCCCATGGACAAATCTGGTGTATTCCCTAGAAAAAAGGGTAACGTTTTAAGGTGGAGTCAAACTATATTTTGATTACAATTCATCATGCAATTTATCCAACTATTTTTTTTTTTGAAATAAAAAATATGGAATGTATCCAAGTATAAATGATATATTTTATGAAATTGTCGTATTTATGGATGTGTATAGGGAATTGATATATTTGGCACAATCAAGCTTAGTTCCATCAATGTCTTCAAGAAGCTCTCTGGTTTAAAAGTTCTCTGGGCAGTTGATGCATTTATATTTCTTGTTGAAATTGAGTATTGTCTGTTTTTATACTAAATGATAGAAGTTGCAGTGGAAGAATTCTAGAAATTCCAAGATAATTTGTTTTATAAAAGTTTCTTTCTTGTCAATGGACTCAAGACTTGAAGTATCGTCACAACATAAAGAACATGTAAAGAAATTAAAGCTCTTTGTCATGCTCTTTTCGACAATCTTGATGAAACTTGTGACAGAAGAGACTTTCAAGATCCTTCAATTATGATTGAATCTATGGATGAGCCTGTGCAAATTTTTCTGGTGGTTTAATACATACTATCTACGTGGTTTCATGAGGATACCAAATTTCAAAGATCTCAAGCTGCAATATTTTATGCTTCCTGGTTCAAGATTCGAGGTTGACTATTGTCCAAAATATCGGAGAAAAAGAAGAAAGTGGCAGCAGGGAAGCTAGTGGGTGTTCGTCCCACGAGAAATCTCCACTCTGCTCATTAAGCGTGGCTTTGTTTTGGTTTAGATTTCTAGTTTGTGCTTAATTAGGAAAAAGAATTGGGCTAGGATTTTGGAACTTATCATCGCTAAGAGTTTGGTTTAGGATCTCTAGTTTTAGGACAAGCCCCAAGTACAAAAAAAAATGCAAATTGCTGGTCACTTACCTGTTTATGCATGCTAACTGCAACACTAAAAGTAGGCAGGAAATCATTATCAAATAAAGGTCTATAGTACCTAACTCTAGAGATCAAGGGGTTCTCTATGACAAGTTCCTAAAGGATATATGTGAAGCAAGATGCATGCTTGACTCAAGATTTTACTCTCAATCAGACCCATAACCATAACATTGAGCTTTTTTCTTGCAGAGGACGCTGATGGAAAATTGTGGTTTTAGTATAAATATGTTTTTATAGTATTCATGTAATTTTTGTATTATGTTGACAACTTTTGCAATTATCAAGTTTATATGAAGTTTCCTAAACTAGGTATCGAAATTGTTCTGGCTATAGAAGGATAAGGTCGCATCATACAATTGGTAGCATGATATTACACCTTGTTTAATTGTTCCTGTTGGTCCATTTAAGTGCTCTATCTCACTTATCCAAAAGTGGTGACAACTCCTTATTGGACTAATATGTTGACAAGCGCAGTTGGTTCTTTCTGCCATCAATTCTTCTTGTTTAAGAAACTTGAGGTGATTCAAAAGAGGACGGTGATCATGTTATGTGGAAGAATTTGATGCATATTGCTATCTAAAATTCTACTCAATTCTCTTCTACCATTTTCTATATTGATTCATCTTTCTTTGCCTTCCCCTCTGTCACATTTCCTAAAGTTCTTTCTTTCAGTCCTGTTTTCTTCACTTTCAACCTTAAACTGCTGGGTATTACCTTATTTGTTAGGGGTCGTGTAGTCGTGAAAATGTCCTCATCATTTTGTTTTTAGTATTGTACCTATGGGGAAGTTTACTGTTTCTTGCAGACAAAGCTAGGCAAAGTATCTCAGTCACCAAAACCAGTTTCTAAGTCTTGTACCTTCTCTGTTACGGTTGTCTGTCTGCCAGTCTATAAAGACATAGAAAATCCCACCAAGTCCGAGGTAGGATGTGGTATGGATACGAATCATCTTGAGTTTGACCAGACAAGAAAGAAGAGAAGAAAACATGTTTTCTTCGAAATTCATTTTGGATTGCATTGTTAGGGAATCTAATATGCCAGTTAAATGTGGTCTCCAAGAAAATTAACCAGTTGTCAGTTATTTTCTTATGATCCTTAATAAGAGAAAGCTGTAGACAGTCTGAATCATATTATATTCAACATTTGATATTTCTGTTGGCCGTTATGAAGGTTTTAGTCAGACTTTTGTGCATAATGTTTGATTCATCTACCTGTTTGTTTAGCTGAAGTGATAGGAAGATTAGTTTGTGCTGATATACTTTTTCTTAATCATCTTGTTTTTGTCTTTGTAAGTTCTAAATACTCATTTCGTACGATGGCAGCAACATATACAGGCAGCACGTGATAGGACGCCAATGACCCCTAGATGATATTATGGGTAGCAACAAGGAGTTTTCAGGCATACCGAACTTGTATTTTAGTATTTCGGCTGAGCTCATTGTCTCCGTTTGCCCAGGTGGATGAAATAACTTGATTGAAAGGCAAATGTATGTTCTTCTCAGTTATTTTTTCTGCTAATCATGAAAATGCCTTGGAGTAATGTAAGAATTAGTGAATGCCAGCCAGGTTTGGAAGAAAACTTAAGAATGTATTTTGCTTCAATTATATGATATTTTGTTTTGTTAGGAACTTCCTATACTAGTAAATATATGAAGCTTTATTTTTGTTTCTTTCAGTAAAGTAAATAAGCTGCTTAATTATTTCACACTATTTATGGGTATGACAATAGCCATCTCTAGGGAGAAAGATGAGAAGTTTCCCGATTCTAAGATAAATAAATTAATTCGGTTCTTAGAGCAAACATTTGCATATAGGTAAAAGGATATAGGTGAGTGTAACTGCAATGGAGGGAGTATTTTTTGGTGCTTATGCAGTAGGTTTTGACGCATATGCATACAGCATTTGCATTCCAGCTTTCATACTATGCACTGGTAAAGGATTCTGCAAATTTTGAGTTGGCAATTGCATTTCAAAGTATTTTCTGGATGTATGGAGCATCTTGTACTTTTGAGCAACATGGAAAGGAACGAACTTACTGTTATATGTTTAGCAGGACATAAAACAGAAGTATGCGTAACACTGGATGGAGTTATGCATAATATTGGATTATCAAAATTGATATCTGTACCATGATCAATAACAAAATTAGATGTAGACAGAGAAGGGTGATTTTGCAGAAGATCTTGAATCATTGAGCTATTTTAACTATTTGTGTTGGCAGGGCAGCTACATCAGCCAGCCATTTTATCCTGCATGGTTGCCATCTGAACTCGTATTATGTTCATTATCACCTTGAATTTTGTTTTTTTAGGGTTGTTGGTGCTCCAAATCGAACAATAACCTCCATGGTTTGATTTGACTGTAGAACCTTTAATGAAAATTTCTTTTAAGATAAAGACTCTTGGAAAACTCTTGTTAAAATCTTCATCTTGTTAGGGCTTATTCTCAAACTGGAGTTACTCAAAACAGCAAATTTTAATGCTTATAAAGATTACAATGCAAAATTTATATATGCAACCTATATAGTTCATCCATTTAATGTGAGAAATAGGGCTTATTCTCAAATTAGAGTTACTCAGATGGCAAAACATGTAAGTAGGGTAGAGTAAGGAATAGGCAAAGAAGTCTTTTGCTTTGCTGCCTTTCTTAATATTTAGGAGATACTTCCTTTATGAGTATGGTAAGCAACTACTCAGGTTTTAAAATATTACCACTATCATCACTATTTCTGCTATTTTTAGTGTTAGTTATTGTTACCATTACTAATTGTATTATTACTACTATTATCAACTAAATTACTACAATTATTTAAACTACCATCATTGTAATTGTATGCATCATAATTGATATTATTGTTCTTAATCTTTTATTTTTCATCATTACCACTATTGTTGATATCACCATTATTATTGTTGACATCAATACTTTATTTATACTATTATTATTATTACTATTATTATTATTATTTATTGATTAGAGTGAAATATAAAAAGTGTTATATTCTAAATATTTTTAATTTTTTTAAAATGATAAAAAAAAATTAAATAATATTTCATACTTTTTAGAACCGTTGGAGATTTATTAACATCAGTTTTGCCTATAAAAAGATTGTCAATTTAGAAAATAGAAACCATGAACTAACTTGGGAAGAGTAAGAAAGTAAAAAGTGACAAAAGTAGAGTAGAAATTAGAGTGTTCTTGTAACACCCTAAATTAGTTTTTTTATAATTTAAAATTTTATTATAAATATAATAAAATAATTTTTCAATTTTTTTATTTATTTAGAATAAAAATTAAAATAAAATTGATGGAAGATTATATTGAAAATAATTTTGAGAAAAATGTATGAAAATTTGGGTTTTGAGGGTATTTTTGAAAGAAAAATCGAAAATTAGGAGTCAAAATACAATTTAGAGAAGTTTCACCACGTCAGACACCTGGTCAGGAGACTTGATGAATCAGGACGCGCTGCGTGGTAGCAAACGCTGACGCAGTGCCACGCAGGCGATCTGCGTGCTCGCGATCAAACGGTCCAAATCCGTTCCCGTGCGCATAAACAGCCCAGATGCGTATCCCCCCAAACGCGATCGGATGATCAGATTTGAACGTGATCAGACGGTCCAGATTAGATCGTGATGGACGGTTCAGATTGAATCGCGATAAATGGTTCAGATCCACTCCTTATTTAATCGCGATCGGACAGTTTATATTAAACGCGATGGACGGTGCAGATCAAAAGCGGACGGATATAAATAACCCCCATCCACACTAAACTCTAACCCTAGTTGCCAGACTCGGTCGCCGGAGAAGAAGACCCGGCCACCGGGAAAGGAGACCGATGCCACCCGCCGCCGCATTGGAGCTTTTTCCTATCGCTAAAAAGGTATAAAAAAAAAAATTTGCTTGAAATTCAATTTTAAACACACCCAAGACCAAATCGGAGTAAAAAAACTGTCTAATTGGTCGAAAAACGCCGGCGAAACCCAGTGGCACCACCGCCGCAAATTTCACAAAATGCCTCCTATGAGGCCATTTTCGATTCCCGTTCTATGTAATTTTTCTACCATTGTGATCACTGTGTCATTATCTACAGGTTGATCGGAGCAAAACACCCAACCGCAATGTGAGCCGGAGGAGCCGCCGCACCGGAGAGTCCAACCGTCGGTGAGTTTTGATTTTCTGTATTTTTTCAGCCAACCAAGGACCTTTAACGTATTTTCTCGCAGGGATCGATACAGAATTGGCCGAATTCGACCGAAAATGGCTGAAAACAGCCGACCTGAGGCGGACCGCCGTCGCCAGAGCACAGCGGAGCCGCCGTGCTAGAATTTTAAAATTGGCCAAGTGGGTCCTGGGACTGATTTTGGATTTGTTTGAGACATTTATAGGTACTATTAATGCGTTTCAATTTCTGAAAAAAAAATTAGGGAACTTAGGAATCGCCCGTAGGCGCAGTCGAACAACGTAGCTTTTAGACATCGAATTGAGTAAGAATCCTTCACTCTATTCCCTATCATAAAATTGAAGTCTAAATAAATAATAATACGATATTTTGTGTGAATTTAGAAAATGTGCATAATTAATTACGGATTTTTAATTAATTACGGATTGTTAATAGAGACAGAACTGAAAATTCTGTACTGTTGTTTTGTCGATTGTTTTACAGTTTAAATACATGATAGTACTTTATTAATTAATTTTATGGTTTTGAATGCATGTATAGTTTATTCTATGTGTTTACTGTTGAATCAGGAAAAAATGAAGGTTAAACAGTAAAAATTGTGTGATGAAATGAATAAATGAAATAGCAGTCTTACTGGATATCCTAGGAGATGGTGGACGGACTGGGTACATAGAGAATCCTGCTGTGAACGTTGTTTCATACCGGACGGAGTATGGGGACAACCTGCTTCATCCTCATACCGGACGGGGTATTGAGGTTTGGTAAATTGACGCTCATACCGGAAGGGGTATGGGGACAGCTAGTAATTGAAAATGTTGAATGAAAGGGTTCATGCATAGTGGGGACATCCTTATGAACCACCATGGATACCAACAGGCTGGTAAAAAGAGTGATAGTTATTGTGAATTTATTGATGATGGACATAAATTTATAATGTGTGGTATGATTGCTGATTATACATGGAATTATGATCTGTATAATATTATTGTCTGTATAGATTATTTTTATGAATCACACTACGGTAAGTGAACGTTAAATGATTTTATTTTTAATAAATGTATTGATTTAAATTAAATGCTCAATTAGTTGTTTTGATTTTATACCAACTTTTACTTCTGTGTCGGTGATATAGTGTAATATCCTTACTGGCCTACTATACCTCATCCCTTATTTAACAATTTCATATCAAGAAGACCAAGTTTCAGAGCCTGAACCGTAAGATGATTGCGAGTAGATTATAGTTTTTTTTTTTTTAACTTTTCACTTATTTCATTATTTCTTATATTGTTTTTTTTTAAACTGAATTCTGCAACTCCGTTTAGTTCTTTAAGTTATCGTATAAGGAATGTAAAATTTAAACATTTATTTCGGTTCTGCACTTAAATTATAATTTATTTTTTTTAGATATTTTTAGGGCTATTACAATTCTAAAATTTTCACGGTGAAAAATGTTATTATAGGAAATAGCAGAGATCACATGTTGGTAGAGTTAATAATTTTATGAATTTTAATTCTTTGCAAAAAGTACCTCAAGTCTCATCCAACCATCTTACATTGCATATCATCATTTTTATTTTACTTTATTATTTTTTACATAATTTTCTAAAAATTGAAGTCAGACTACATGAATATCCCATTTGGCAATAGAAAATATTTAAAAAAAAAAAAAAAAAATTAAGGGGATTTTTAGTAAAAGTTAAAATTAAAATTAAAATTTGCTTTTAACATATATAAATAGAGAAGCAGGTTTTGTGTACTTTTCATAAATTGCTTCTGTTTTTAAAGAACAATTTAAACATGTTTTTTTTAAAAATTATCCTGACTCAAAACTTATTATTAATTTAGTCAACTGTCTACTAATAATTCAAACTAAATTTTTGAATGATTTTTTGTTATTTCAACTTTTGTGTCATGATGATTTTTGTTAATTATTAAATTATGGTTAAAATTAAAAGTAAATATTCCCAATAATCTATATATTTTTTAAATTTTAATAATAATTTAAAGAATAAAAGACATCATAAAATAACGATTAATTTTTTTTAAATATTTTATTCTTTTGTTATGACTTTTTTTTTTTTTTTGATCATTTGAGTAAAGAAAGTTATTTACACTAAATATAATAATTTCTATTTTTAAAGCAATAGCTGAGGATGGTGAATTCACAACCCTGTCTATTTGTATGAAGAGCAAACTTGTGTTTTTAGGTTGAGTTTAATTTTATATATTCAAACTTACTCTAACAACAAACACGCTTTTTCTTTTCCTGCAACCCAAACTCAGACTTGATTCTATAAAAATCCATATATATATATATATGTATATATATATAAACTGCATCGAATTGAGTATAAAATAACATCTCTAATTGTAAAAATCTTTACAACTATTTCTACCCAATGTATCAAAACTTCTTTACCAAAAACAAATTTACCAAAAAGTTATTTTGAAGACACTTTCATTACTCACATAATAACCAAAGTATAAGCAGTGCCAAGAAGACATACTGTTGTGGCCAGTAATTAATCTTAGTTGGATAATAATGCATGGTAATGAAGGTTGGTTGGAGAGTGTGGAAAAGAAGGGTCACATGCAATCTTTATGAATCCAGCTAAGCTTGCTTCCAAATGTAGTTGCAAGTCCTTTTCAATCAAACAAGAATGGGAACAAGAAGATCTTGAAGAAGAATTTGTGACAAATATATATATATACACACACACACATATTTGACAAAATTGTTATTTTCTTCATTTACAGAAGGATGGCATTGAGAAAAATGGTTGACAAGCAGTCAATCATGGAAATTGATTGACATTTGTCCTTGAAATGGCACATGGGTTGTTGCCCAATTTTCATACCAAATCACATTTTCCATTCACACTCCTATCAAGAACATTGTTAGAAACAATTTTAATTTTTTGTTAAACTAAATTTTAAGTAAAATCTCAATTGGGTTAACCCTTATTTATAAAGTCTTTTTAGTTCATCTCTGTTTTTGATAGGTGCATGTAGTGAAACTAGAAGCTAAGAAGCTTGCAATTGCCGTAAGTAATTTGCTCGTACCCAACTTGGCCGCCCAACCAAACCAACTGTAAGCATTAATGTTGCCTCATCTTCCATCCATCTTTAATTAAAAACTCTCCTCTTTCAATTTATCTATCTATTATTAAAAATCTACCAATATCTCCAATAGCTAATATTATATATATATATATGTATGTATATATACGCATTGAAGTTCATGGTGTTTCTGACATTGCCTCCAAAATTAACTATGGACAAAATTAAGACTGTTTGAAAATGGAATTCATTTTACTAATTTCACAAACTAATGAAGTTTTTTCTCAGATTAGGGAAAAGTTGGTGCATATAAAATTATACAATTTAAATTTGGTCAATTTTAATAAAATTTAGAATAAAATTGGTGTTTAGAGAAAACTAGGAAACATAAACAGATATACATACATATATAAACACACGAGTTGTGACCAGAGGGTCACAACCCATTTCAGTGTTTAATACAAAAAAAAAAAAAATCATAGCAATTTGCAATCTGCATTGCAGACAGCCCACTAGGAGTATGCAGAAGAAAACAATAATAATAATAATAATAAAATCAAGTATAGATTTAAACTTAAAAAATAAAAATAAAATAATTAAAAATGTTTATATATAATAATAATAATAATAATAATAATTTTAATTATCATCAGACCCAATAAGTTGATAAAGCAGAAACAATGTTTACTCATTTAATGCTCTAAAAAATTATACACAAAATCTCACTTCAAATAGCCAAAAACTTACCTGGAAATTCCAACCTTTGATATTATAATAATAATAATAATAATAGTAATAATAAACTATAAACAAAAAATAATTTGAAGAACAAATATTCTTTCTTCCCAACAGAATCAAGATTTCCCCAAAATTAAACAAGCGAAATCTATAATCAATGGAGAGAGAGAGAGAGAGAGAGAGAGAGAGAGAGATTAGGGATCAGATATGGCATCCGAAGCAATTACATGTCTTGGGCGTGAAGGAACAGAAGCCAAAAGGTCTGTTTGGAATGTTGCAGTTGATGGCGTAGCAACAGGGAGATGCTAAACAAAGCCCTTTCGCTCCACCGCAGCAAGTGCATAGTGCGCATATCTGAAAACTCCCTAGCTTCCTTCTGCTCTCGTTCACCATCACCAATCTCTCCTCCATCAATGGCACCATCATTGGTTGGGTTTCGCTTGTCGTCGTCGTCGTCGCCGCATCTGGAACAGAGCCGATTGCCTCCAAAATCAAGATACACAACAGAAACATCGAATCAATCAATCAGGAGAGAAAGAAAGAAAAAGCGTATGTAGCATATTAGGGGAGAAGAGTAAAGAGATCTGAGAAGAGAGAGAGAGAGAGAGAGAGAGAGAGAGAGAGAGAAAGAGAGACTCACTTGAGGTTGTAGAACGGAGGTTCCAGAGGAGTTGAGAAGAAGAAGAGCAAAAATGAGAAGCAACGGGAGAGAAAGAGTGTGGGGGAGGCAGCCATCTGCAGATTTCATGATTGGTAAATGGTGAAGAAAGGTAGTAGAGAGGTGTGGTTTTGATTTTTGATTTTTGGTTGTGATGTGATGTGAGTTTTCATTAAAAAAAAAAGAAAATGAAGAAAAAAGAAAAAGAGAAATTTAATTTTGACTTTTGGAGAAATTCAAATCCATCTTCTGCTTTGCAATTTTAATCTGATTTTATTACTAATTTACTACCCTTTGTAAAAATTTATTATTCCATTTTTTTACAAATATTTCATTTTTTTTAATTAAATTAAATTAATTTCTCATACGGCCCAAGCCCATTTCTTCCCCAAAAACAAAACGTTGTCGTTTCTTTCCTCCGTCCTCGAGAAACAAACAAGAAAATTTGCAGGTTGATTGATAAAGAAGAAGAGGAATACGGGGAGAGAAACCCGAAGAAAGAAAATGAGGGAAATCGTGCGTGAAGTAAAACAAGAATGAACTGATTTCTGTTGCTTTTTTCATTTCTGTGTGTTGATTAAAGAATGCGCGGTGCGATTGTTACTGAAGGAAAAATACTGGATGCTTTGCATTTAAAAATCTTCGCTTCTTGATCGTGGAATGAATGAAAATGAACAACTTGGTAATTGAATGATCTCACGGTTAAAATATTATTTATTAACCTCACAAAACTAATAGCAAGTAGATGAAAGAACGGATGTGAATGACGAGCGAAATGTCCAGAGGATGATGATTACCTCTCTGCAACTCCAACCTGCAGTTCTCCGCTCCTTACCAGAATTCTCTAGATGCCCCTAGGAGCATGATTTCACTGGCTCGGCATCGACTGTTTCTGTTACAACTTTTGACTCCAGGGTTTTTTTAAGACAAGTTGCCTTCTGCGAAAATCATAATGCCCGTCTTTTGTTTTTATGGTCAGGAGGAGCCCTTCAAGGTAGAGCTAAAAAGCTCCAACTTAGAATCAAGGAGAAAGGAGAACAAAATTCCACCAAGAAATTCTAGTGTATACATGTGGCCAATATATATATATATATATATATATATTTATGGGAGGCTTTTTTTTAGTTTTTCTTTTCATGTATATTATATATGTATATCATGGGTATAATTCATTTTATTAAGTAAAATAAATTATGACATCTTTATATGCCATGTTAGATGCCTATGTCATGTAAATTAAATTCAATAAATATAATATAATCTTACATTAAGATAAATGAATACCCTTGATCTTTTTACAATATATTATTACATTATTTATTCCAAATACAGAATAATATAATCTCCTTCAATATCCAAATTCTATTACACTATAAGAAGTTCACTTTTAAATTTTATGGCTTTTCATCTCTTATTATGGTAAATATCAATACTTCTTCTTCCTAGGTTAAAAAAAGGATTCTATCATCCATGATAACCATGGCACTACCATCCTCTCTAAATCTATAGTACTTATTGAGAACTTTAACAATTAATTCACTTACGAAGTTGTTGTATGTCACGTTGTAAATTTTCTACAATTGAAACAAGTGTTTTATCTCCAACTACCCATTTCTATAATATTTTTAAGAAATTCGTATATTTTGAAACAATCACTTTTATTTATTGTTAAATAAAAGTAGTCTTTTATAATTTTCTTGGAATATCTCATAAGAAAACACCTGCCGATCTTAACTCTTAATTTATCATTTTTTAAACTGTATCAAATTAGACTAACTTTAATTCTCTAAATGAATAAGAGTCTAACATTAGTTTACTCGTATTTTTTGTGACGTCTCTTAAATTAATTTAGATAAATAATCGTTTAACAAATATACGATAATATTCGATGCGGAACTTCAAAAAAAAAAAAAATAAATAAATATGTAAAGTTTTTTTGTAAATCTAATATATCCAATGTAGTTTATTTTATTTTCTTAACTACTTACATTCATTTAGCATGAATTAAGGAAATCCACTTTGAGAGAGTTTCATATTATTCAATATAATCCAAAAAGATTCTCCACTCAAATATTTTTCATCATAATATGATATATGTATTTTAACACTCTTGACAAGCTGTTTCATAACCTCATTCTACACTTCTCAATTCCTTAATGATATGTAATTGAAACTACAAGAAAACATTAACCACTATAATGAAATATGAAAACCTTCATTCTACCTATGCTGACATTGTTTTACGTATATTTTTTAAGATCGAAGCCGATACTTTTTCTCTCATTTAAAAAAAAAAAAAAAGTCTTTTCTATTTTTCAATATGACTTGATTTGCAAACTCCAACAGATTTCAAATTGTAGAATTTGATAATTATGTTTTTAAGTAGCTCATGCAATTAAGTTTGTTGATTAGTGGATTAAAATACAAAAGTTTGATTCTATTATATTTAATTGATAAGAATGGGAAAATTTTCGTTACGTACGACATCCGCCATAGGAGCAGACATTATATTTCACTTCAAAATAGAAAAGTAGAAATAATATCTTTCAAATATGGAGGTGCATGATACACTTCGATCTTAAAACCATAACTGAAGTATGCTTCATTTTTAACTTGTGTGGATGTATTCAATTCTTCTTTGATCCTTCTTATTTGCCAGCAGTTGCCAATCACAGCAAATACATGAGACACATCCATGATTCAATAGTACAAGATAAGTTTCAACTCACAAATCTATCTAAACTTTTTGATGAAATCTAGATGGTGCTTCCGAGTTCTTCTCTTTCGAAGTCTATCCTTACAATAGTCGGAAGCGGACTTCCTCAAACTCCATCTTAACACAAATATTTCTTGGACAGCTCATATACTTGATGTGTTCTTCATTACCCACAATTCTTGCAAGCTATCTTTATGCCTAAATGGTCCCATGAATCTCATGTACCCTTTTAAGGGAGTGCTATGATGCTTGCCTAATCATTCTCCCATCTTAATTTCTATTTAATTAGCATCATATACTTGAAAGTTTCACCTATTAAGGTCAAAAGGAGCTCTTCCATACTTCTATATCTTGTTTTATATATAATTTGAAATGATTCTCATTCTGCATATACTAATTTATACTTATAGCAAGATTTATCATCTTAATATCTCATGTGAATTTGGTCCTTCCACACCCTATATGGCTATTTTAAACCCCATAATAATATGAAAATCTGAGACACCTATGATAAGTAGCCAGATGTCTTCATTTCCCCATCCATTCTCTCACACACATCCCATCTAACCATCTTAGCAAAACTTTCATACTTACAGAGATAAAAGCAATGAAAATCGGAAGAAACATTCTCAACTACCGTTGATTTTCTAGTCAAAAGAGGTGGCAGAATGGGAGGGAGGTTGACAAATGAATTTCTAATTCCATAAAAATATGAAATCAATATTGAATCATAGTTGAACTAAATACGAATTTATAGATGAATTTCACAAGTTTTCTCTAAGTTCATTCCTAACATAACAATGGCAAAATTCAAACTGGATTAGATGCTCATTGAAAAATTTGTTCTCCATCTATCAGAAGAAGAATCTTAAATTATCCATGCAAGTTATCTATGAATTACATAACCAGCTTTTGGGTAGAAATCCATTGTACATACATATAAGTGAAACTACAAGAAAACAAATTCAATCAGAGAAAAAAATAGTGAAAAGCTGCTTCCAGCTTCACCTAGAATGACAACGACTTTCCAATTATTGGAGAGCCTGTTTCATTTACTGATAATATCCAATTTTTCATGTTGTCATAGTACCTGCTATGAGTTCTTCAAGGTACTTAGCACAAATAATCAGGAGTTGTTGCAGTGCATCCATCACTATAATCTCTCTTATTTGAAGCCTCCTGGAAAAACAAGCATACACATCTGAATATATATGTATACTTAAAAGGGAAAGCCCAAACAGTAAGTAACACTATCGGATTAAGGCATTCGACTAAAACAACTTGTTGGATTAACGCATTCAGCTTAAAAACTTGAACAGAAGGAAATGCAACAAAGAATGCAGATTACCTGTGAAACTTTTTACTATTAAAATCATCATCTTCTCACTGATTCTGGAAGGCCCAGTTTTTCCTGCTCATACCAATATTTGGCCCATGTTTCTCTGCATGACAAAACTATTTAGCAGAATGCTTAGTAAGAAACAAAGATTAAATTCAGAAGTGCCTTTGCTAATTTCACCAATAACAGATATCAAAAGAAAAGTTTGAAGCATGATGTATCATTGAACATTAAAGAAATCTTAGGAATGTCGGTGCAAGAAGAATAAAGAGAAAGAAGATGATGATAACGACAATAATAAAACTGATAATTATGATCATGACCATGAAGCGAAGTCCATATAATCAAAACAAGGTAGCAGAGAGATTCTACCATTATGAGAAAAAAAGAGCCAGGGTTAGACATTAATACCAGGGAAAGTAAATTGGAATTCCCAATAATCCTATGGTCATGAAGTTGGAAAAGAAATTCTTCATTCAATAAACTGGAAAAAGAAAAGAAGAGAAGAAATATCTTCAGAATCAGAAAGAGGAGTTTTGAGGACAGATGAAATGTTCACATTGGCTTTACCAAATGTGAAAATAATTTCAGATTTTTACACGATGCAGCAAAATTAAATCAGTTGAAGCAACTGCCAACTGAATTGCATTCAGAATAACAGAATCAACTGGCTTTAACACTATACATCTCCAGCCACGGAAAGTGAATTTACAGATTACTCTTCCTTGTCTTCAGAGTCTGTAGGATGTAACCCGCCCATTAAAGAAGCCTTCTCACTCTGTATCAATATTATCATCTCCAGAAGGCATTTGTCTTGTCTCTGAAAGTGAAAGCCGCCTGGGTTTTGTAGAACCTGCTTCAACAAGACCTTCAGATGACAAATTTAATGCAGTTCCAGAAGATGATCCCAGCAGACGCCGTACTGGAGTATCATTTGAAGTTGACGCAGAAAAATTATATGTGAAAACTCCCATAGGGTGGTCAAACTTACAACTTGGCCCAAACTTGCAGATACCATAACGTGAATAAAAAATGCATAAAGGTTCTCCCTGTTGAAACAATAGGAGGGTTTAATCATCTAAATGACAGGAAAAAGTCTGTATGGAAACAATAAAAGTCTTCGCACTACCCAGAAACATGGCAAAGACACTTTGCAACTTAATTACTAAAATATCAATAACACTTGCTACTAAAGAGAACAAAATGATGTCATTCCACAGTGGAAGATGGCAACAACTTTAAATTATAATAGTTGCATTTTTAATGAATCATTTGCATGAGAGCTGCAGAAGTAAGAAGACCTAAGACATAATCACAGTAATCTATACTAACTGCCAATCATAAAGAAGGACCTTGTAAAAAAATTATTACTTTGATTTTCTCATCCCATTGGACACCAAAAATAAGACAGTTGATGAGATTCGAATAAATCTGATTAGAATAAATCTGAGCAGCGAAACAGGCCTATGAAATAAAATCTTCAGTTTTTCTAATAGCTTCAGAGGATAGCTAATGTTAATTCACGAAAGTGGTCAAAAAAACACTGGTATATATTTCTACATTTCAAGGCCTGCATCATGCATACAGAGATAATACCATTTAAGCAATTTCACTATGAGAGCCCCATGAAAGATTACAGAATAGGAACACTGGTAAGACTAGGATAAAAGGATACATATATATAGGTAGATATATTATTTTTGGATAAAGCGCATGGAAGTGCTTAATGTTTGGGAATAATTAGAACTAGACCCATTGGTTTTCAGAAACAACAATCTATCCTTCCAATGTTCTGTAAGGCAAAATACATTTTTTAATTACTCATCTATTCACAATTTTCATGTGCATACTTTAGTTTGTCATACATTGTCATTATTGCTTATCCTTTACCATATAAACTATCCTTTTTCTAATGCAGATCGTTTATATGTTGCAAAATTTTACTATTTTACAGTAACATGATTGATACATGACACATTCCATCTGCTTAGAAACTGAGCTGAATTTGACAAATAGATTCATTATACGAGGACTGTTATTTTTGGCAAAGTAATAGATTCAGCGATAGTTATTCTCCAGGCTTGTATTTATTCTTTTCTCATCTTAATAATACTTCTTTTTCTATCAAAAAAAGATTGAACTGTAGTTATACCCAAACTAAAAGGACCTTAATGTAATTTTCCAAAACATATTTCAATAGCATTGAGTGATAGTTAAATTAAATTCTCAGGCATTCCACTTGTAAGATAACTTACCTGCCGCAGAGGGAGGCCTATTGGACTTAAGACACAGTCAGGAGCAGGAATTAGCCTCTCCCTTGGATGATGGAACCTACAGACAGCCCCAAATTTACAGTCTCCAGTCTTCATGTAAAACTGGCACTCAGGCTGGCCAGGTCTCTCAGGAAAAACATTCTCTCTCTGCAATGCATAATATCCTACTGGTACAGAACCAGAACGGA